CTCCGACAAACACGTATTGGCAATGCAAGTCTTGCTATATTTCATTCCAACAATAAAACTAGTCGACGAATATCTTCGAAAATTCATAAATACTTTGACAAATGTAGGTAGTTTAAGAAACATAAAGCCTATTACTTTTAATAAATTTCTTTGCATTATGATCTTTAATATCTTGGAAAATTACATTAGAAAATCGTATTTATAAGAAATGATTACAATATTTATATTTGCTACAGATTTGAACTTATTACTTTTAATGTTTTAGTATATTATTTTGAAATCCCCCAAAAATTGTATCTTCCAGAAAATGCAAATTTTATCTATTTTTAATTTTTTTAATAATCATGTATACTTCTTATGGTTTCAAGTAATATACAGACCCATAAATAACATTTGTAAATAAACCTAAACAATAAATGAGTATTTTTATTTTTAACTAGGATTTCATGTTTATATATTATGTACATAAAAACATTTCTGATAGAGAACTTATCTTTTAATGGATTTCTGATTTTATTTTTATAAGTAGTAGCATAACATTCAATTATTTGTACAAAATTGTATTCTTTAATGAAGTTTAAAGAGGAATTTAATGAAAAAATTCCTAAAATACGTTTTAGACTGTAACTAAGTGCCCTCTAAGAAGAAATGTTTTTTTCAAAAATGTTTTAAAAATGTTTCCTTCCACTTCAGCACTGGTCCTGCCATCTATGATTGGTATCTAAACCTTTTTTTAGTCTGTTCTTTTTATAAAACAGCGTCTTGGCATGTTAAACCTCAGTTGTAAAACTTTTAGCCAATCCTAGTCGAAAGTGTCAATTTCAGTACCAATTATTCCAATTGCTGTATCTCCCATTTGACAAATCATAGGATGATAAGGAAAGCACGTGATGCATTGTTCTCTGGATTTTACAATATGAATGTGGGTGGTGCTTATTATAGTAACTGCCATTTTATGTAGAGTTTGTATTTAGTACTGGCCAATAGGGCTTTTCTGTAAGCGTAAGAAAAGTTGCTTCTGGAAAAAACTGCATGGTTTATACGTGATTTTTATTTTTCTTATATAGTAGCTTAAGTCATGCTGCATGGTATATCTGTTTATATTAATCATTATATTGAAAAATTAACTCAAAATAGATATATTTTTTAGGAAAGAAGTTGATCCACGATTGTTAGGGTTAAGAGTTACCGAGTGGCGAGTGCAAAGTCTTTACATGAATTAGACTTAGGACTTTGAACTGAAAGAGTTTGTGATTTTTTATATTCTTTTGAATTTAGATTTGTAGTTTTAATCTCAATAATTTAACATAATTTTATATTTATTTCATAATAATAATAATATGATTCAGTATTTAGAATGAAAAACTTGTGTGATTTATATGTAATACTATTAGTACCACAAAAGAATTTTATATTTTTCCTTCTTACAATCTTTGCTTTGTAGTAAGACCCACACTTCTGTTGTTATTACGTTAGAATTAAAACAGTCTAACTGATATATATATATATATATATGTAGTTTATTCTGATATTTTGCAAATGGTTCAAACTCAGTAGTGACAACAATAAAACCCATATGTTGGTTGTGAAACAGACTAAATACTAAATAATACAGGGAAGCTATGACATTCTCACAGTTGGGTTCTCAATACATTGAAGTTTCGCATTCCAACATAAATCTTGCCTGTAATGATAGGAATGTGATCAGGACTAATCTTTTAAGTGCTGTAATTTTCTTTGTAATTTATGGTGTCTGTATTGTTTGGTAATCTCTTCTAACAGGATGTATCAAGTAACAAGGGGTCAGGCTCAGGTGGTGTTTATTGAAACCACCTGTACTATAAACTGTTACATACATTTGTTAGTAGTGGCAGTTAGTTTTGTCTCTATTCTGAAACAACATACATAGACATATGTTGAAATAAACTTGTTTGAAAGTTTAAAGAAATGATATTCAAGTACCGAAAAGCTTTCTTACTATCATATCTACAGTAACGTTCAAATGCGCGCACGCTCGGTTGAACGAGAGTGACCACCAAAAAGGTTGAAATAGTTTACGGACAACGTACATAGTTCATGCTGCTGACCCCACGGTTTATTCGGCACAATAAACACAACAGTACGACTGCAATGAAACATAAATTTGAAATAAAAATATATTTATGAAACAAAATTTTTTTTCAATTCACAAATGATTTTGCCCTCACACTTGCATTGCCTACTAAGAAAGTTAGTACTGGTAGTCATCGGGTTAAAATTAACTGGACCTAACACACTGAAGGGAACTCATTCCATAGTTCAACCACCCTATTAGAAAAATAAAGCTGTCTCAGCTGGAGATAACTCCTACCCTACCAAAATTTACATTTGTGGCCCCTAGTTTTACAATTTTCATCATTAAATATGAAAAAAATGATGCACCAATACTATCAATTCCTTAACAATTTTAAACATCTTAATCAGATCTCTCAAACTCTTCTTTTTTTCAAGTATGACAACTTTTCTATCTCAAGTATCAAACTCTTTCCAACAATTCAATGTCCTTTCTAAGGTAAGAATCCCAAGACTGAACACAATATTTCAAATGCAGGCTAACCAATGACCTATAGAATGATATTATAACCTCTCTAGATTTCTGTTCAATATTTCAGTAGAAACCTAAACTCCTATTTGCCATGCCACTAGAAACAGCACATTCCTTGGATGACTTTAGAGACTGATCAACTATTACACCAAGATCCCTTTCCTTCATAACAGTTAAGGTTATTCCATTCAAATTACACTTATAATTCAAATTATGATAACCCACATGCATTATATTGCATTTATTATATTTAAAACCCATCGGCCATTTATTTGCCCAACTCACTGAATGATCTAATTCTTTTTTTAAAGCAATGGTATCCCCTTTAGGTTTAGCAACACCCAAGACCTTAATATCAACAGCAAATTTAAATACTTTATTCACCACATGTCACAGATCTAAATTAAAAAGAGCAAATGTCCTAACACTGAGCCCTGAGGTATTCCATTTAGGACATGAATCCATTTATAACAAACCCCTGTTTTCTTCCATCTAATGAGCCAACCTATCCTCCACACCTACATAGTAACTTTTTTGAAAAGCCTTTTATGTAGGCACTTTATCAAATACTTTCTGAAAAACCAGATACACCAAATCTACATCCATAACATTATCTACAAAAGCAGTAGCCTCTTCGAAGAATGTCAAAATATTAATAACATTTTCCCATAGTGACACACACTGACTTCCAACAAACTTTTATACTTTGTGAAATGAATTTGCAAATCATCTTTTGTCAGACTTCCAGAAATTTTCCACAACACTGTTGTAAAATCAATAGGCCTATAGTTACTAGGATAATCTTTATCACCTCCCTTTGTAATATATCATGTTCAAGTAGAAGCTGGGGATACACAACATGAGCACAACAGTAAGTCTAAAGATCAGAAGTTGAAACATAATAATACTGATACTCCTCACAGTGATACATGATACTGAGAAAGTAGAAATGGTAATATATTAAGTTTCATTAGAAAAAGAGAACTTGTGATAGTGAAGAGAAAAATATTCAGCCCAGTAATAGGAAGAGCATTAAAATAAGCAAAGAACAAGTAATTAGAAGTAAAGCATCAAACCGTAATAAGGTGAACACGGATAAATTAAAAACAAAGTACTGGACAAGTACACATCTATAAAAATCCCTCAGGTGATTCTAAACCTACAGAAGCCAACAGAGCATCCAAACAGCTTGTACAGCTAGTTAAAAATACTTGAGAGAAGTCAGGTCACTATTTTAACTAAAATACTGGACTTTATTCAAAATTCAGGAATATCAATTGAGCCAATACAAACTGACAAGTCAGGAGTATAAACTGTTGCATGTCTGAGCAAGATTGTATCTATACAAGTGTTAAATATAAATGAGAGTAAAGTAGTGCTGTCAAACTTGCAATAGTAAGTAAAGCTAGCAGAATAGATGAAGTAGTACATAAAAGTAAGATGCTTATACCAGTGTAGCCAAAGAAAAATTGATTCCAAGGAATATTATAATAATAACTATAAAGAATAAACATAAAGAAGGGCTACTGAACTTATTAGAAGAATACACAAAAATATTTGTAGCAGAGGGTGTTGCTAATAATTGTACAAACAAAGTGGAACATAAGACACTATTAAATAGTACACC